TAAATTAATAAATAAGCAGGCTAACTTAATGATGAGGAAGGGTCCTAATGGCTTTATGAAGTAGTCGGGTGGTCTGTGTGACTAATGAGCTTGAAGTATCTATTGCCCTATCTCAAAAACTTTCTCCTAATCTGAATGAAATTTACTAAACACTTACTGTTTTGAGTAAAGGCATCTTATTGAATGGAAAACCTCTTAGAAGGATTAATATTTCATACTGCTATCACTCTTATCTACAAGGAATAGTTTATTTCCTCCTTGTCTGAGCACAAAAAGCATCATATAGGTGGGAGAAGGAGGCAAAATTTTATTTATTTATTTGGAACAAGATCTTTCTGTGTTGTCCAGGCTGGAGTACAGTGGCACCATCTCAGCTCACTGCAGCCTCTGCCTCCTGGGCTCAAGCAGTCCTCCCACCTCAGCCTCCCAAATAGCAGGGACTACAGGCACACACCACCACGCCTGGCTAATTTTTTAAAAAGTTTTTGTAGAAATAAGGTCTCACCATGTTGCCCAGGTTCATCCTGGGCTCAAGCAATCCACCCACCTCGGCCTCCCAAAGCACTGGGATTACAGGTATAAGCTACCATGCTTGGCCAGGAGGCACGATTTTGAAATAGAGAATGCCACAATTGGGCAGCAGGAAGGTACTAAGTAGTTTTTCTAGTTCAAGCACAGACAGGAGCTCTGAAAAGGATCTGAAGCCTAATTTAACCTTTTAAAAAAATGTCCATATTTTCATCATTAAACTACTGAGTCAATTCTTAGAAGGCTATGAGACACCTGCGCTACTTCTGGAGAAACCTTTGTTTCATAATTTAATTTTCCATGTTCTACGTTTGTTTAATATACCTGCTTCTGTTACCTGTCTCCTCAAGTGGCATCTTGGTACGAATCACCAAAACCCGATGCCCCTGCTTAACTGATAGGTCTGTTTGTCAAGCTGACAGCAATGTCATTATTTTACTTTCAGAATGCGCGGCTGCCAATGATAGATCCTAGACTCCCCCGCCTCTCCCCCCCGCGAATGAAGCCCCACCGAAAGTTGTATGCTCAAAAGCAGCTAATCTTTCTTCATTTGGAACTAACTTACAGTATTTCATATCTTCTCAAGTTCACAAAAGCCCTAAGTAATTAGCCTCATGTAGACAGCTAATAATTTGAAAGGGTTTATTACCTTTTTTCTAGCTAGCAGTGCTGCTCATACAGACATGTTATTTACAATTAATAGCCCGTTGAAAAATCTTTATGCAAGTATGCTTATTTAAGACATCTGCGTATGATTCAGGTCAAGAGTCAGAAGACACTCTTCGTGGACCTCACTTATTTTAAAATCACTTGTCTTCGTTTTTCCGTAAGTAAGAAAACGTCCAAATCAATCACACTCTTTCCATTACAAAAACTACAACTATTCTCTCTAAAAATGTACTTGCTTCCACTAAAATACATTTTCAGCCTTTTCTCCCTTGACCTCTATGATCGCAAATACACATTCCCTAAAGCTTTCACATGTACAAGCTTTATAGCATTTCTATGTCGTCCTTCAGTCTGCAAATTCTACTCCACCGTCAACGATTTCTTTCAGAATCAAAGATAGCTTGACTTTGTCCAGCAAACAGGGCAAGAACGTGGCGCAATTAATAGAGCAGGCATTAATGATGCAAGTGTACTTACAGTAAGCGCACATGTTTCAAATTGAGGAGAAGAACAAAATGACACAGGAATGGAACCAAAAATCTTTGAGAGGAAAATAACCCATCTGTTCTAATTACGTTCAGGTGTTATCGCATGGATGGATTATAGCCTTTTCTGAGGCCGATAGTGTCTTTTGAATACGGATTGCCAAAGCCCCACTCTGTGGTTATGTTTGCAAGATGTTAGAGAGTAAGGTAGGATACATGACACCACCTGCCATTTCCTGTGTACAGGTGCCCATAAATTGACAACCAATTAGCTTCACTTCTCAATCAACAGACAAGTACGTTTAGAATATAGGTTATGAAAGGGTCGGTTGTGGAGGATACTATTAGACAAAACTATAACCACCTTGGGCCAATTTTATGTTCACTGAGAGCAAGCCTGTAGGCTTTGCCATTTCATTTTATGTAGGATTACTAGATCCAGGAACCATATTAGGCATAGAATATATGGACTTTATGAAAACATTTGACAAAGTCTGTCATAATATTCCTGAAGACAGTATAAAATAAATATAGGCTGGTAACAAAGATAATTGGATAATTTAATGATCAGATTAAGAGTTGTACCTGAAATGTGCTGAATAATAGAACAGTATCAACCAATGTGATATTACATGCTATGGAGTTCTGTCCTCAACTTAGTCAGTTCAGCATTTTAAAATCAGTGAGTGAGATACATAAAATGACTTATAAGGATCAACTTTGCAAAAGACATGAAGCTTAGAATTTCCTGGATACCAATGGCAATAACTAAGGCAATAACCAAAGGAAATAACTATGTCTAAGACATATATATCTATGTTATATACTCAAATATATGTGAGTCTAAGATAATATAAGATATATATTTTTATGTATTTTATATATTTACATTTACATCTGTAGTTTTGTACTTGGATCTGAAAAGCCAAATGCAGACATAATAGAATGGAAAGTTCTGGTTGCAAGGAATAGGGAGCTTAAGGGAGAAAAGGGAAAATAGTAGAGGAAGATTGGGCATGAATTCCAAATGGCAAGTAGGGCAGCCAGGTCTCAAGAGGAACTGAAGTGAGGAACTGGAAGCGTTTGGGGTTCCTTATTTTCTCTGTCTTTCTGGAGCTACAGCGTCCTCATCTCAGCTTCTCTGTACTCATTCATGTCTCAGATTTTAGTTATATTAGTTAATTTGTATCTTGTACATGACATTTTCTAAGGTGACCTAAGTGCCTGAATCTTCAACAATTACAGGCCCAGTTGGCTCATACCAGCTGGCGCTTGGTCCTTCTGGGTCTGATGTCCAATCCTGGTTCACCAGTCACCATGGCTAGGTTAGATGGGTAGAGGGAGTCTTAGTCACATTGCCAAACATAGCAGCCAGGGCTGTGGAAAGTGGATTATCTAAAATGGAAACATAGATAGAAAGGAAATAATTGGTATATTCAGTATAATGAGACATTGGTTTGCACTGCAGTATTTTTAAGATCAGGGGTTTTATGTAACATAAAGCCAGTTATAGTACATAAAAGCAAAATATAATTGCTAAAAATATGAAAGACCAATGAGATCTAAAGTTTCATTAGAACATATTACAATGATGTTAGTAATGAGATATTAGAATGAGAGAAGTTTGAGTCTTCTCTTATTCTATTTCAGTGAGACCAGCCACACTAAACTATTGCATTCTGGGCACCATACTTTGAAACACATGTAGAATATTGGAAAAAATTTAGAGAAATCTAGAATGAGGAAGAAATTCAACTGAAGGAATTGTAAGTGTTGACCTGAAGAAGAGAAGACATGGAATATTCCTGATAGCTGTCTTCAAATGTTAGAAAGACCTTCGTGTGAAAGAGGCCTGGGGATGTCACACATGGTTTCTAAGAGGACTGGAACTGGTGCACACTTCAGGGAGGCAGATTTGTGATGAGCCTGAGAAAGGATTTCCTGAGAGACAAAACTGGCAGAAGATGGAACAGAATGCTTTAGAAAGTGGTTTCCCATCATTTGGGATGTTAAAATAAAGGATAGGCAACAACGTATTTAGGTTGAAGTAGATTAATGGAATTGAATCCATGTAGAACTTGAACCAGGTTATCTTTATGATTACTTTTAAACCTGATGTTTTATAAATCAAAGTGGCAGTTAGATAGTTGATATAGTCATTAATCTGTATCCCACAATACTGTATTATGGTTTTTAATTTAAAATTTTTATTACTAAAGTTTAAAGGAGCCAAATTTTACTTTATAAAAATGTGTTATTTTCTTCCAGTTGACATTTCTGTAATCACTTTGGTAGGTAGATATGGTGGCATTACTATTAGTTACAGAAACAGTTTCTATAGTTTCAAGGGAGGTTACTTTAAGAGTAAATCTTGTATAATCCAAGAGTTAATTTCAAATTTAGTGCCCTGGAGCAAGTATTTTATGAAGCATCTCTTATCCTTTGTGAATAGGAAAACAAGCAGAGGCTACTGAGAAATATTATACGAGAAACAGAAAAAAGAGCTATCTCCTTTCTGACTTGGCTAAAATTTCATTTTTCACTGGCCCTATGCTGGCCAGAAGTCATACAACACTTTATTTGAAGGAAGGAAGAGTATCTATCCAATATACAGTTGGTTAAAGGTGCTGGTTTTAAATAGACCTGAGTTTTAATCCCAGCTTCTCCACATATCAGCCGATTATTTAACTTCAGTAGTCTCTGTTTTTTTTTTTTTTTTAAATCTATAAGATGGGTATAACAATACCTACTAAGAACTGACTTGGGGAGAAGAGATTAGGTTCAAAGTGTTTTTCCTATTTGTAGATTTATGACAGAATGTTAAATTTCTGTAAAAATCATAAAATGCTGAAACTGAACAGAAACAGAATTCATTTGGTGTAATGTCATACTTTTACAAATGAGGAAAATAAGGTCTGAAAAGGCCAGGAGAACAGAGCAGTTTGCAATTAAAGAACAGTGATTTCCTCCCACTTTGTGGAAAATTCATCTTAAAACCAGAATTATAAAGATTATACATTTTTCACTATTTTTGGTTTTATTTTACGGAAAATATTGTAAGAGTAAATCTTTCTTAGAGATACCGTGGAGAAACAATTGCTCAGAAAGATCTTTTTCTAATCCCAAGATTTTGTGTCAGACTCAATATGCCTGTTTACAAATTTTTATACAAATGTGGGCAATGTCATAATTATTGCTCCAAGGCATAGTATACTATATATTTACTTCGTTCAACCAGCATGTCTACAATATCTTCAGTTGAACTTTATTTTTCAGAATTAAAAAAAAAATTTAGTAAGTGTATGTTCTGTTTCCTAGATGTTGCCTGAAGAAAAAGTTTGTAAGTACTGTGGAGTCAGCTATCTAATTCTTCATGAATTTAAAGCTATGGAAGAAAAAGTGAAAGCAATGGAAAAAGAGATGAAATTTTATCAAGGAAGTGTAGATCGTGAAAAGAGACTTCAAGAAAAACTGCATTCTCTTAACCAAGAACTTGAACAGTACAAAATTGACAGCAAATCCAAAACAGAAAGGTTAGAGTATGTTTTTCTTTTCTATCATTTATTTAGTTGAAAGAAAAGTACAGGAAATAAATACACTTTGAATGTTTTTCTGAAATTTCTCTACATCAGGTATAGTTTATACTTTAATACATTTGTTTGTTTCTTAATTATATTAATAATTACTAAATATAATTATTATAGTTTGCTTTCTTTCGAGCCATATATTTACTATCTGAAAAATTAGAAATCAATTAATTTAGTAACCACCAACTGAGACGTTCAAGTTTTTTTCCCAGGTATATATCTTACGTTTTATTATTAGGAAAATTTATCTATCAAAAATCAGATTAATTTTGGTAGTTTTTCATACATTTATTTTTAAATGGCTTTGGATTTTTAGATTTGTAGAGTAAGGCTTTCATATTTTGAAAAAGATGCCAAGACATTCAAATTAGTGTATGATTTTAAATTATTGGAATTGGAAAAAACTTTACGAATGAGTTTCTAATATTGTAGAATCTAATCAGCAATCTAGTCTGCCTAAAGACATTTCAGTGAGCCTATACAGAAGAGTTTTTGCTGGTGTTTTATAGCTTTTCCTATGAATGAAAATTTCTTAATTTAAAGTATTGACAGTTGATGTTAAAAGACCTTGAGTTAATGAATTTAATGAATAACATGTCTATGTAGTGGAAACTTGCTTAAGTCGCTTCGGATTAAATACTTCTATTAAATTTTATTACAAAATTTTATATAAAATATGTAATTTCATTAAATGCCAGTTAAGCCAGATATTTCTTACTTTTTTTTTAACAAAAAAAGTAGTTATAGTTTCTTTAATTTCACATCTGAATAATAAAGTATTTTATGATATTTTCATGAAAAAGCTTAAAAATTTGAAGTATTGTTTACAATTTTTAATTTGGAGGGGTTTTGCCTGTCAGGGATTCTTTTGTTTGGTGTATTCACACCTTGCTTTCTTTAATAAAATGTAGTATACATGTAAGAAATAAACACATGAAGTAAAAGAAGTATAGGGAATAATAAGGCAAGAAAGTCTTTGTACCCTGCTGATTGTACTATTACTGGTACCCTGCTGATTGTACTGATTGTATTATTACTGGTACCCTGCTGATTGTACTGATTGTATTCTTACTGGAGGTAAAAATCATCTTTTTTTTTTTCTTTTGAGATAGAGTCCTGCTCTGTCACCTAGGCTGGAGTGCAGTGTCATGATCTCAGCTCACTGCAGCCTCTGCCTTCCAGGTTCAAGTGATTCTCCTGCCTCAGCCTCCCAAGTAGCTGGGATTATGGGCATACACTACCACTCTCGGCTAATTTTTTGATATTATTAGTAGAGACAGAGTTTCACCATGTTGGCCAGGCTGGCTCGAACTCCTGACCTCAGGTGATCTGCCCACATGGGCCTCCCAAAGTGTTGGGATTACAGGCGTGAGCCACTGCGCCCGGCCAAAAATCACTTTTAATGATTTGGTGTATGTCTTGCTAGATCCTTCATTGTACCTTTACCTTTATTACAAATGTCTTTTCTTTTCTTTTCTTTTTTTTTGAGACAGGGTCTTTCTATGTTGCCCGGGCTGGTGTGAAATGGCACTATCATGGCTCACTGCAGCCTTGACCTTCCAGACTCAAGCTGTCTTCTCACCTTAGCCTCCCGAGTAGCTGGGACCACAGGTTCACACCACCATGCCTGGCTAATTTTTGTATTTTGTAGCTTTTTTTTTTTTTTTTTTCCCCTAGAGATGCGGTTTTGCTATGTTGCCCATGTTGGTCTTGAACTCCTGAGCTCAAGTAATCTGCCTGCCTTGGCCTCCCAAAGTGCTAGAATTACAGGCATGATCCACTGCACTCAGCCTTATTTTCTGAATATGTGTAGTTCATATCTTTTTCTCTTAACAGACTAGTTTTAACATAAGCAGTATATCAAACATACTGTTGTGCTGTTGACATTTGCCGCTTAATTATGTATATTGGAAATTGTTCCATGTTAATGTATGTAGATCTACCTTGTTCTTAACTACACCAACATTTTTCTTACCAAGAATATGCTATAATTTACTTAATTTTCTTTTCAAAGTTTATATTATTTCCAATTTTTGTTATTACATGTAGTATTTGTATTTATGTTCTTGTGAACATATGCTGTTCCAAAGGATAAATTTCTAGAAGTGAAACTACTGAAAGAAAACAAATGCCAGTTTAAAATTTTGATGGATATTATACCAAGTAGTCCTTTGAGAAAATAACATTCACTTACATTTGGTCAATAGTTGATGAAGTGACCACTTTCCTACATTTTGTTAATATTGGGTTTTTCTTAATTTTTTTCAATCTCTTGAGTGAAAAATATTACCTCATGGTTATTTAATTAGTATTTTTTTTTTTTGCCAACGAAGCTGAACAATTTTTTGTGTATTAGACATTTATATTGATTACCTGTATACATATATTGCCCATGTTATTGGGTTATTTGCTTATATTTGTTTATTTGTAGGCACTTTTAATATAATATTGGCATTATACTTTGTTTATATATGTTGTTAATATTTTCTCATGGTTGCTTGTCCTTTCACTTCGTTGTATTTTTTTGCTGTATCTTTTAAAAGTTTTAATAATATCCTGTGCCAGATTCTGGTTGGTTAGAGTTTTGTGTCAAGTTCTTTTAGTTGCAAACAACGGAAACTTATCTGACATGAACCTAGACACAACAGAGAATGTATTGGAAGAGTACGAGGTGATAGCTCATTGAAAGAAAGGAAAAACTCAAGAACCCTGGCTTTGGAAATGGACTGGAAACAGATCTTGTTCAGGGATCTGGGAAGTCTGGGGTAAATTCACTCAACTGTTTTTTCCTTGCATCATTCCCTTCAAGATTCAAATCCCAGAAGAGTCTCACTGGCTTTATTTCCTTTATGTGACCACCCTCCAATTCCACTCCCTTAGCCTGATGAAGGGGGTAACCTTGATTGATAGTTCTATGAAGACTTCATACAATGAAAGCAAAGGTTTTCACTAAAGAGAAGTTAGAGTATTGTTATCAGAAGATGAGGGAATAGACTCAGGCAAGTAGAAACAACATATGTTTAAAACTTACAGTATTAGAATTACCTTTTTAATCTATTTAGTATTAATTTTGTATATAATTTGAGGTAGATTTCCAATTTCATGTTTGTTGTTTCTCAGATATCTGGCTGTTGGCCCAATATCATTTATTAAATTCTTCATCCTCTCTCCCTTGACTTGAAATGCCACCTATTAATTTTTCTTCTAGCATATTTCTGGATGCTCTGTTTTGTGTTATTGATTTATTGTCTATCATTGAGTCAGGGCCACACTTTTAACTACTTTAGCTTTATAATATGTTTTGATATTTTGTAGGACAAGTGTTTGGTTTGCCTTCGGGTTACCCTGGCTTTTTAGTATATTTTCTTTTCTGGATGAACTCTAGAATCAGCTTGTCAGATTCCATAAAGCATGCTATGTTATCATTTAGACTGGGATTGCATTTACTTTCTAGAGCAGTTAGATTATCTCGATAATTGACATCTTTATAATCTTGAGGCTTCTTATCCTGGAACATGGATTCCCCATTTATTCAGATGTTCTTTAAATCCTTCAATACAATTTTATAATTTTTAAATACATTCTGTATTAGTTTAATCCTTGGACATATTTTTGTTGCTTTTGGGAAGGATGCCTTTTTATTACATTTTTTTGAATGCTATTTATTTCTGTAGCTAGCTTCCTTATTGAATTCTTTTATTGTTAGGATTTTTTAATTTTCTGGAATATTTGTTATATGTTTATAACATACACGTACATGTAAAACAGTCACATCATATGCAAATAGTGCCTGTCATCTTTTTATTTCCAATAGTTATACCCTTTTCCTCCTTTTTCTTGTCTTACTAAATTGGATTGGACCTGTAGAACAGTGTTGAATAGTAAACTTGTAGAATGCATCTTTATATTTATTTGTAAGGTAATGCAATCCTGTCTAGGATGTTTCTGTTTCAAAAAGGACATCTGCTATAGGTTTCTTAAAGATACCTTTTATCAATTTAAGGAATTCCTCCTTTTATTTCTAATTCTTTAAGTTTATTTAAAATCAGATGACTATTGAATTTTAATAAATGCTTTTCTGTCTTCTATTGAGATGATCATATGATTTGTTTTCCTTTAATCTGTTAATATAGTAAATCATACTAATGGATTTTCTAATATGAAGCTAAACTTACATTTTTGATAGAAAACCATTTTGATCATGTTACATATTTCAAGGTTCCCAGAGTCTCATGTATTTGCTTGCCTTCTTCATGATTCTTGCCACTGCTATAAGTACTCTGCACTATTCTATTTTTCTGTGAATTCTCCCTTAAATGTATGTATTTCTATGCATATAGTAAGTGGAAAAACATTTATCACTTGCCATAAATAAAATATTTAAAAAATAAGTATATAACTACAGGTTGAGTACCTTTTATCCAAAATGCTTTGGGTAAAAGCATTAAATAAAAGTACTTTGGTCCAGAAGTGTTTTGGATTTTGGAATATTTTCAGAATACATACCAGTTGAGCATCTAATCTGAAAATCCAAAATGTGAAATGCACTAATGAGTGTTCCCTTTGAAAATCATGCTGACACTCAAAAAGTTTTGGATTTTGGGTAATTTCTTGATTGAAATAAAAGTGTTTTGTCTCTGTAACACTAACAAAATTGCCCATACTAATAGTAATATGTGAAATAGTTTATGAAAAGCATTGTTCTTTTGAAATAATGCTACTAATATTTTACATAGATATTTGCGTCTGTCTTCGCAGGTGAGGTTGGCCTACAGTTTTGTTTCCTTGTGGCATACAAACTAGGTTATACTTACCTTTTCTAATAAGTTAAGAAGGCTTTCATCTTTGGTGTGCACCAGACATCTTGAATAGCACATGAGTGTTTTGTTCCTTGAAGCTTTGGTAGATCTTCATTAAAAATGTATTTTGGTTGGGGGAGGGTTGGT